CATGCGAACTTTGCCACTGGGGCCTTCGGTGGGGCCCCCTATGGGCCAGCGAACCGTGTGAGGGGTGCGCCGAGATGGGGCGGGGCCGCCATGCGAACTTTGCCACTGGGGCCTTCGGTGGGGCTCCCTATGGGCCAGCGGAACGTGTGAGGGGTGCGCCGAGATGGGGCGGGGCCGCCATGCGACCTTTGCCACTGGGGCCTTCGGTGGGGCTCCCTACGGGGCAACGAAACGTGTGAGGGGTGCGCCGAAATGGCCCGGGGCCGCCATGCGAACTTTGCCACTGGGGCCTTCGGTGGGGCTCCCTATGGGGCAACGAAACGTGCGAGGGGTGCGCCGAACTGGGACGGGGCCGCCATGCGAACTTTGCCTCTGGGGTCTTCGGTGGAGCTCCCTCTGGGGCCACGAAACGTGCGAGGGGTGCGCCGAAATGGGACGGGGCCGCCATACGAACTTTGCCACTGGGGCCTTCGGTGGAGCTCCCTATGGGGCCACGAAACGTGCGAGGGGTGCGCCGAGATGGGGCGGGGCCGCCATGCAAACTTTGCCGCTGGGGGCTTCGGTGGAGCTCCCTATGGGGCAGCGAACCGTGTGAGGGGTGCGCCGAAATGGGGTGGGGCCGCCATGCGATCGCTGCCACCAGGGCCTTTGGTGGAGCTCCCTATGGGGCCACCAAACGTGTGAGGCGTGCGCCGAAATGAGGCGGGGCCGCCATGCGAACTTTGCCGCTGGGGCCTTCGGTGGGGCCCCCTATGGGGCAACGAAACGTGTGAGGGGTGCGCCGACATAGGGCGGGGCCGCCATGCGCACTTTGCCACTGGGGCCTTAGGTGGAGCTCCCCATGGGGCCACGAAACGTTGGGTGAAACGAAGGGAGGAAGGAGGAGGGGGGGGAAGGTGGGGGAGGAGAGGAGGAGGAGGAGAGGTGGGACGCGGGGCGCTGTCTCTTCAAAACGAGGACCCAACACCACAGGATGGTTAGGAAGAATCCAAGGAATCCTGTGTGAAAAAACCCAATCATCCTGTGGTGTTGGGTCCTCGTTTTGAAGAGACGTCGCCCCGCGTTCCTTCTCCTCCTTTCCTCTCCTCCTCAGCCTCCCTCCTCCCCCCTCCCGTCACTCCTCCGTCCTCCCTGCGTTTCACCCACCCAGTACAGCGCTTCGTGGCCCCATAGGGAGCTCCACCGAAGGCCCCAGTGGCAGCGTTCGCATGATGGCCCCGCCCCATTTTGGCGCACCTCTCACACGGTTCGTGGCCCCATAGGGAGCTCCACCGAAGGCCCCAGTGGCAGCGTTCGCATGGCGGCCCCTCCCCATTTCGGCACACCCCTCACGAGGATCGCGGCCCCATAAGGAGCTCCACCGAAGGCCCCAGTGGCAGCGTTCGCATGGCGGCCCCGCCCCATTTTGGCGCACCCCTGACACGGTTCGTGGCCCACAAGGAAGCTCCACCGAAGGCTCCAGTTGCAGCGTTCGCATGGCGGCCCCGCCCCATTTCTGCACACCCCTCACAAGGATCGTGGCCCCATAGGGAGCTCCACCGAAGGCCCCAGTGGCAGCGCATGGCGGCCTCGGGCCATTTCGGCACACCCCTCACGAGGATCGTGGCCCCATAGGGAGCTCCACCGAAGGCCCCAGTGGCAGCGATCGCATGGTGGCCCCGCCCCATTTTGGCGTACATCTCACGAGGATCGTGGCCCCGTAGGGAGCTCCACCGAAGGCCCCAGTGGCAGCGTTCGCATGGCGGCCTCGGGCCATTTCGGCACACCCCTCACGAGGATCGTGGCCCCACCGAGAATTCCTCTTGCTTCGTCCCACCTGCCCTGCGATATTCACGTTTGCATCTGGTTGGGTCCTTCGCCAAGATAATTAGCCTGGCGAAAGATCCAACCATACGCAGTTGTGACTACCGCAATTGTGACCGACACGGCCCGGGGCCGCCATGCGAACGTTGCCACTGGGGTCTTCGGTGGGGCTCCCTATGGGGCCGCGAACCGTGTGAGGGGTGTGCCGCAATGGGGCAGGGCTGCCATGCGAACGCTGCCACTGGGGTCTTCGCTGGAGCTCCTATGGGGCCACGATCCTCGTGAGGGGTGTGCCGCAATCGCCCGAGACCGCCACGCGAACCCTGCCATTGGGGCCTTCGGTGGAGCCCCCTATGGGGCCACGATCCTTGTGAGGGGTGTGCTGACATGGGGCGGGGCCGCCATGCGAATGCTGCCACTGGGGCCTTCAGCGGAGCTCCCTATGGGGCCACGATCTTCGTGAGGGGTGCGCCAAAATGGGGCGGGGCCACCATGCGAACCCTGCCACTGGGGCCTTCGGTGGAGCTCCCTACGGGGCCACGATCCTCGTGAGGGGTACGCCAAAATGGGGCGGGGCCACCATGCGAACCCTGCCACTGGGGCCTTCGGTGGGGCTCCCTACGGGGCCACGATCCTCGTGAGGGGTGCGCCAAAATGGAGCGGGGCCAACATGCGAATGTGCCACTGGAGCCTTCGGTGGAGCTCCCTATGGGGCCAGGGTGCGCCACAATGGGGCGGGGCCGCCATGCGAACGCTGCCATTGGGGCCTTCGGTGGAGCTCTCTCTGGGGCCACGATCCTCGTGAGGGGTGCGCCAAAATGGAGCGGGGCCACCATGCGAACCCTGCCACTGGGGCCTTCGGTGGAGCTCCCTACGGGGCCACGATCCTCGTGAGATGTACGCCAAAATGGGGCGGGGCCACCATGCGATCGCTGCCACTGGGGCCTTCGGTGGAGCTCCCTATGGGGCCACGATCCTCGTGAGGGGTGTGCCGAAATCGCCCGAGGCCGCCATGCGAACGCTGCCACTGGGGCCTTCAGTGGAGCTCCCTATGGGGCCACGATCCTCGTGAGGGGTGTGCCGAAATGGGGCGGGGCCGCCATGCGAACGCTGCCACTGGGGCCTTCGGTGGAGCTCCCTATGGGGGCACGAAACGCTGTACTGGGTGGGTGAAACGCAGGAAGGAGGGGGAGGAGGGGGAGAAGAAGAGGAGAGGAGGAGGAGGAACGCGGGGCGACGTCTCGTCAAAACGAAGACCCAACACCACAGGATGGTTGGGAATAAGCTGAAGGGGGGGCGGATATCTTCCAGACGTCACCAGGGGAGAGTGGAGAGTAGTATTCATATTGTGTAGTTGTGGAGGTGGAGGAGGAGGAGGAGGAGCAGCAGCAGCAGCAGCAGCAGGAGCAGGAGCAGGAGCAGGAGCAGGAGGAGGAGGAGGAGGAGAACGAGGAGGAGAAGGAGGAGGAGGAGGAGGAGGAGGAGGAGGAGAAGGAGAAGGAGGAAGACAAAAAAAAGAGGAAGAGGAGGAGGAGGAGGAGGAGGAGAAAAAGGACAAGAAGGAGAAGGGGGAGGAGGAGGAGGAGGAGGAGGAGGAGGAGGAGGAGGAGGAATGGGAACAGGAGGAGGAGGAGGAGGAGGAGGAGGAGGACGAGGACGAGGACGAGGACGAGGACGAGGAGGAGGACGAGGAGGAGAAGGAGGAGGAGGAGGGAGAATACAGATTACAACCACTGGACACGGACTGATCGCAACCTGAAGGATTCCTATACTGATCTTTGCGGAGAACACTGGATTGAAACCGATCCGAGAGCTTCTGCAGTGTTTCCGAAGAGATTACGCAGAGTTTCTGGAGAGTTTTTGAAGAGCTTCTGCAGTTTCTGCAGAGCTTCCGAGCAGCTTCTGAAGAGCTGCCGAAGAGCTTCTGCTGAGTCTCTGTAGAGCCTCTACAGAGCTTCCTGAGAGTTCCTGCTGAGCTTATGCAGAGTTTCTGCGGGGCTTCTGAAGAGCTTATGATGAGTTTCCGCAGAGCTTATGCAAAGTATTGAAATGTTTCGGCAGAGCTCATGCTGAAATTCCGAAGAGCTTCTGAACAGTTGTTGCAGGGCTTATGCTGAGCTTCTGCAGATCTTCCGCAGCGCGTCTGCAAAGTTTCTGCAGAGCTTCTGAAAACAAAAAACTTCTGCCGAGCTTCAGCTTATGCAGAGCTTCTGCAGAGCTTCCCAGAGCTTATGATGATCTTCTGCCGAGGTTCCGAAAATCTTCTGAAGAGTTTACGCAGAACTTCTGAAGAGCTTATGAGGAGTTTCTGAATAGCTTACGCACAGCTTCTGCAGCGCTGCTGCAAAGCTTCTGAGGAGTTTACGCAGAGCTTCCGAACAGTTTCTGACGAGTTTCTGCTGCAGAGCTTCTGCAGAGTTTATGCTGGGTTCTGCAGAGCTTACGCAGAGCTGCTGAAGAACTTCTGCAGAGCTGCTGCAGAGCTTACGCAGAACTTCCGAAGAGCTTATGCTGCTGAATTCATGCAGAGATTATGCAGAACTTCTGTATATATTCTGCAGAGCTTCTGAAGAGGTTCCGAAGAGTTTCCGCAGAGCTTCTGAAGAGTTGTTGCTAGGAATTGCCCACAAATCAAATAGGGATCGTATACTGATCATGGCCACGTTCGAGCTCAAGTAAAAGTGTTTAGCTGAGATCATGATCGGCCGTCCGTAATCGGACCGATGGCAACCGCTTTTTCAGATTCCCAGTGGGCGGCTAAAGGGAGTTCAGGGCACCCAGAAGCGCTCTTCTGATCTCTCCCTCAATCGAAGCCGTCCTGAAGCGACCCAGAAACATCGCAACCACTTCGGACATATCGCAACTTGTTGCGACAGTCCGAAGTGATCGACGATCGGTCCGAAGTGGTTTCGATCGGTCTCCATCGCGAGGAGGAGGAGGAGCAGGAGGAGGAGGAGGAGGAGAAAGAGGAGGAGGAGTGAGGAGGAGTGAGGAGGAGGAGGAGGAGAAGGAGGAGGAAGAGGAGGAGGAGGAGGAGGAGGAGGAGGAGGAGGAGGAGGAGGAGTGAGGGAGGAGGAGGAGGAGGAGGAGGAGGGGGAAGAGGAGGCGGAGGAGGAGAAGGAGGAGCAGCAGGAGCAGCCGGAGCAGCAGCAGGAGCAGGAGGAGGAGCAGGAGAAAGCCCACCCATGACCCCCCAGGTTGTCCGCCGCTTCCCCTTCCAGTCGGAGCTGCAGCGCATGGCCGTCGTGGTTAGGCACACGGGCCCAGGCACCGGCTACCTCCAGGGCGCCGACCCGGGCCAGCGGGGCGAGCTGGATATCTTTCCTCCCCCATCTTGGGGAAGAGGCTGAGGGGGAGGAGGAGGACGAGAAGGAGGAGGACAAGAGGAGGAGGAGGAGGAGGAGGAGGAGGAGGAGGAGGAGGAGGAGGAGAGAGGATCTTGGTCAGGGGCAGCTAGGGGGGATAGGCTCAGGGGCGAACGCATCGATCCCAATCGCACACTCATCACTGATAGGGGCTCGACGGCCCACCCCGCCTAGGAGCGTGCGGGCTTAGCCATCGGAGGACTGCCGCCGATCTATCCACGATGTATTGCCGATTCCGGGTCGATGTTTCCCTTCCTGAGCCAATAACCTTTCAGCCGTTCCTGCTCATGAGGAGGCTCACAAGGAGGAGGAGGAGGAGGGGGAGGAGGAGGAGGAGGAGGAGGAGGAGGAGGAGGAGGAGGAGGAGAAGGCGAATGGTGGCAACGTCGGATGACATTTCAGCCTTCAGGGCTTCAGGGTCTCTGAAGGAGAACCTGGACTTCAGGCGATGTAGGCGATGGCGTACAATGACAAGCCTTGTATAATATTATCGAAGACGCCTACGGCGAATCACCGCCGCCCCCTGCCTTTTTGGAAGCGCCTATGTGGCCGAACGTTGAGGCCAGACCTGCCAAGCTATCGGACCACGTGTTCCCCGAATCGGTTTGGAAAGCCTTCGGGGAACACGTGGGCATCTTGAAGGTCATCTTGGCCGTCTTGGAGGCCTCTTGGGCAAGCTTTGGGCGATCTTTGGGGCTTTTTGGGCCGTCTCGGGCCAGCTTCGAGCCAACTTCGGCCATCTTGGTGGGTTCCTGGCACGTCTGAAGCCGTCGGAAGCCGTTTGGGGGGCCTCTATGGGCCGACTTGGGGCCCGCTTGGAATGCTCCAGGGCCGTCTTGGAGGCCATCTTGGGCGTCTTGGAGGCCATCTTGGGCGTGTTGGAGGCCTCTTGGGCCCTCTTGGGGCCCTCTAGGGGCCATCTTGGAGGCCACTTGGGCCATCATGGGGCTCTCTTGGGGGCCTCTTGGGCGATCTTGGGGGCTTCTTGGGCCGTCTTGAGCCGTCGGAGAGCCGAAAAGGCGCAAATGCCAAAATCCTTCAAAAACCAAGGGAAAATCAATGATTTTGGCCTCTTCGGACTCTCCTGGAGGACCTCTTGGAGGCCTCTTGGGCCGTCTGGGAGGCCTCTGGGGCCTCTTGGGCCGTCTTGGGCCGTCTTGGACTCTCTTGGGCCGTTTTGGAGGCCGTCTTGGACCATCTCGGGCGGACTTGGAGGCCATCTTGGGCCATCTTCGCGATTTTTTGAGGATGTCCCGAGCGAAACGGCCGTTTTTGGGCATTGACAGACGCATTTGGGGAAATTTACGGGTGGCCGGCGGGACGGGCCGAAGCCCACTGGGGAGTTCTTTTAGAAAAAGAACCAAAACCAAAACCTGAATCATCCAGCACGCCGTGCACCCCTGCAAGCAGGGGGCGGCGGATGTGAATGGCCTTCGGCCCATCCCGCCACCGTGCCTGGGGTATGGGTCAGAGTCCTCATGGATGCTTATTGAGGTCACTTCGGAGGGCTCTCGGGGGCCCCTGGCGGGCAGTTTTGACGCATCTTGGGGGCCGAGCTTGCCTCCGCCAGGAGGACTAAAGCGCGGCACTCCCTTGGCTACTTTGAGACACTCGGAGCACTGCCAAAAATCGGAAACCCGAACCCATCGATGAGGCTGGGGATCCACCTTGGGCTTCGGGGGCTTAGGGACCAAAGGGATGCCTTTTAGGTCGAGCGTGGGCCACAATGGCATCAGCTCAGCGGAAAGGCGCATAACACACTTCGCGATAGACAGGCACCGATCAAGCCATACTACATCGCACGGGTCGGGTTGCGGGTGCCTGACGAGTGAATGTTTGGCAACGCTGTCAGCTAGGTCATTGCCCAGCTTCCAGAATCGTTCCAACTCTGAAAGGTCACTAGATTCTTCCACATGGGCCTTGACCTTGAAAACTCCCTCGCCCAACTTCCGGTGGGTGGGGAGCAGAAAACCAGAGTACACACGCTTATAAGACAGGGCCCGCATCAGAGGTTCGATCGCTTGAACCACTACGTTTTTGCAATCAGAGTAGATGGAGCTCCCAGGCAGGGCGTGCATCGCAGCAACAGCGTAGGCCCCAAACTCCCCTCCTTGGGCATGGTGACCTCTTTGGGGCCTCCTGGAGGCCTCTTGGGTCGGAGAGCTCGAAAAGTGAGTTCGTGTCCCCCCTCTGGGGCCCCTCTTGGGGCGTTCTCGGAGCCCTCTTGAGCCGTCTTGGAGGTATCTTGACCCTCTTGTGGACCTCTCTGGGCGACCTTGGGGGCACCTTGGGCCGTCTTGAAGCGTCGGGAACCCGAAACGGCGGAAACGCCAAGATCTTCACAGGGTCATCCGGAAAATCAATGAATGTTGATTGTCGTGGAGCCCTCTTGGGCCGCCTGGAGGTAATTTTGGGCGTCGTGGGGCGAGCTTTCGGCGGCTCGAAGCCCTCGTGGAAGCACGGGAAAGTTCGGGAGAGATCATTTTGGGCGGGCACAGTGTCCGGAGGAGGAGGCAGAGGAGGAAAGAGTCCAGAACTCCCGCGCGCCACCCAGGGCCAACCCAACACGGCCTGGAAAATCGGGGGTCCAGGCCGTGAAGGATTTACAATCCCGACTGCAGGAGCAGCACAGTTGTGAGCCTTGGGGCACTCCACGTCGTGCGAGAGGCACGGTGGCGGATATATATATATATATATATATATATACATGTACACATACATATACATATACATACATACATACATACATACATACATACATACATACATACATACATACATACATACATACATACATACATACGCACACATACATGCATGTATGCATGCATACATACGGACATATATACACACATGAATAGATAAATAGATAACTAAATAAAAAAAGTATATATATATGTACATACATAAATACAGACATACATACATACATACATACATACATACATATATACATACACACATACATACAAACATACATACATATCTGTAAATGTGTGAATGTATATGTGCATGTATATACATACGTACAGAGACAGACAGACAGACAGAGACAGAGACAGAGACACAGACAGAGACAGAGACAGAGACAGAGACAGAGATAGAGAAAGACAGACAGGCATACATACATGCATATAACCATACACAAGCAAACAAACAACAAAAAGCACGACGGCCAGGTGTTCCGAGCCCGGCCCTCCAGAGGCCCAGGGGTTGTGCATTTCCGAGCGCGTTTGGCGCGGGGGAAAGCATCTGTCTTGGCGCAGGGAGCCCCGATCGCTCTAGCAAGGGCATCTCGGAGTGCATGGTGCCTCCCTCTCTTCTCTTCCTCGGTCTTTTTATCCGTAGGATACAGAGGAATATGGCTCGCGTATCAAAGAGGGGTTCAGGGAATCCTCCTTCTTGCGCAGGCCCGTTCACACGCGCCATTGGCAACACAGTTTCAGCGGTGCCGCACCCCTTGGCTTCATCGGAAAACTACTGACTGGTAATACAGGGCTCACTGCGAACGGGCCGCACGCTCGCCTGCTGTGGAGGAGGGGGGAAGGTGAGGGTTTGGGGCGAGGAGGGCAGCGTGCACGCAGCTGCGCAGGCCTTGGCAGTTCCCTCGATAAGGTGTCGAAAGGGTTGTCGAGTCCTTGCTGCATAACACTCACGTAGGAGATTTACGCATACGCTCTACACTGCACCTTCGCGGGCGCATTGACGTTACGTCTTGTCCTGTCCTGTCCACCTCCTCCTCCTCCTCCTCCGCCTCCGCCTCCGCCTCCTCATCCTCCTCCTCCCCCCGCGGGTCGAGAGCTCCCGGGGCCCGCGACGCGACGGCAAAAAAACGTTTCTGTCGGCACCGAGGGCGGGCGCCCACGCGGTCGGCGAGAACCGGCGGGCCGCGCCGCGACGAAAAACACACAGCTGGGGGCGGGGAGAAGGGACGGCGAAGAGGAGAAGGCACATGACGTTCGGGAAGGGGGACGAGGAGACGATAGAATAGGGGAACGAGCAATGACATTAACATAAAGAGGTCCGCGCGGATTTCTCGGATCGACGCTGGGGCCCCCTGGCGGCGCCTCCGGTGCCGCCTTTTGCGCGCTCCGTGCGCCAGGGAGGGGGATCCAGCGCCGATCCGAGAAGTCTGCGCGGACCTCCGAGTTCTTACGTTTATGCCACTTTTCGCCCCCGTATAGAAGGAAGGCGACGGAGGAGGGGATTCGGCCGGGCGTGGACAGCCAGGGGGGAGGTGCAGGATGAGGAGGAGGAAGAAGAGGTTGCCTCCTCGAGACATCTCCCGGCAAGAGGCTCCCGTCCGATCCCTGAACAGAGTTCGTCCCTCCTCCTCCGCATGTTTGTGCTTCCTCCCCCTCCTTCTTCTCCCATTATTCCCATTTCTTGCCGCTCATACCGCCCATCCCCTTCCAGAGATTTCGGGCAACCTCAGAGACGATTTGAAGCTTCGAGTTTCTGAGAGCCGCCAATACCCCCTCGTCATCATCACCATCACCATCATCAGCCATCCCTCCCTGCCTCTGTCTCTCCTCCCTTTCCAGAGACTTCGTGAAGCCTCAGAAGAGGAAGGAGGGAGGGAGGGAGGGAGAGAAAGAGGAGGAGGAGGAGGAGGATGGACTGAGGGAGCGAGGGAGAAGGAGAATGAGGAGAATGAGGAGACGACAAGTCTTGATGCCATTGGAGAGTTCTGGACGCCTCCAGAGGTTCCCAGAAGTTCAAACAACGGCCATACTGAAATTCGAGGATCGAGGATCGAGGACCGACAGCTGAACATGCAAATTGAAACGTCGATCGTCGAGGAGGAGGGTATCCTCCAGGACGGGCGCCTAGTTCCAGGACCCTTTTTCGAACAAGAAAAAAGGGCACGGGGTGTCCAGCGCAGATCCAAGAGATCCGCGCGGAGCGCCCAAGAGTTTCTGCTCATGCCAACAGGTCCTCCTCCTGCTCCTCCTTTTCTGCTCATGCCGAGCAGGTCCTCCTCCTGCTCCTCCTCCTCCTCCTCCTTCACCTCCTCCTTCTCCTCCTCCTCCTCCTCCACCTCCTCCTCCTCCTCCTCCTCCTCCTCCCTCCCCTCCTCCTCTCCTCCTTCTCCTCCTCCTCCCTCCCTCCTCCTCTCCTGTCCTCCTCATCCTCCTCCTCATCCTCCTCCTCCTCTCCTCCTCCTCCTCCTCCTCCTTCTTATCTCCCTCCTCCTCCTCCTCCTCCTCCTCTTCCTCATACTCGTGCCGATTTTTCTTCGTCTGCCTTGGCCCCCTCGCCAGAGGCAGAGGGTCCCCATTGGGCGAGCGACAGCGGGCCCCGGACCCGGAGGCTTCCCCAAGGGCCAGCGCTTCCCCCTCGGGTCGCCTGCCGACGGCACTAGGGGGCCCCGCGTGAAGGGCCCCGAGGGCCCAACGACCGTGGCAGCCTCGCAGGACCCCTCTCCTCGGGACCCCGTTCCTTGGTGCAGAGTCACCATGGCGACGGCGACGACGACGACGACGACGACGACGACGCCGACGATGGACGACGACGACGACGACGACGACGACGACGACGACGACGACGACGACGACGACGACGACCGGCGACGGCGACGACGACGACGACGACGACCGACGACGGCGACGACGACGACGACGAAGACGACGACGACGACGACGACGACGACGACGACGACGACGACGACGACGACGACGGCGGCGACGGCGATGGCGGCGGCGACGACGGCGGCGGCGACGACGGCGGCGGCGGCGGCGGTTGCGGCGGCGGCGG